AATATTTAATAAAATAGATTTCTAAATTTTGAGTTGAATTTTAATTAAATAAAACGACGTCATTTAATATTAGAATTTCAATTCAAAATTTAGATATCCGCTTTATTAAATATTGATACTTATATTTAGAAATTAATTATATATTTTAATATAAATAGTTTTCAAATTTATATATCAACATTTAATAAAATAAATTTTTAAATTTTGAATTAGATTTTCAATTTCCAAATATAGAAATAAACATTTAATAACTTAAAATTTTAAATCTTAAATTGGATGTTAATTAAATGAAACAATGTTGTTTAAGGTTGATACTCTAATTTTTTGAGAATCAAAACTAATATGCACTATTTTCTATATATTAAATTATTATTATTAAAAATGTACAAAATATTAAGTTAATTTAATTAATTACCTATAAACTAACATTTTTAATATAATGTGACATGCGAAAGTGTTGTGTGAAAGCAATGTGAGACGCGGCCTATATTTTTTAACATGGGGGAATTTGGGGGAAGGAGGATTGGTTTTACAAATATTAGAGCCGAGGTCTCAGTCTTGGTAAACCTACACCTTATCCAAGGTAGCTAGTAAATGTTGACTTTAGTTTGATAACCAATTAAACTATATTTGGAGTAAATTTAATAGTATAATTGTTGACACCGTAAATTACATTTTTAGTGATGCCACGTATTAAGGGATAAGGTGAGATCAAATCTACTGAAGGAATGCATATCTATAAAAATGGTTTGGGAGAATAAAGGTTATCCAGTTTATTGTAGTTTGAGTTTAGAAGAAACGAAAATTCCTAGAGTTTAGGAGGAAGTGTAGTTGCGAAATTATCCATGATCTAAACAATTAGCGATTGAAGTAGAGAGACAGTTTGCAAGAAGCATATAAAAAGAAGCTTTCATATCTTTCAACATACACAATCAGCCCTACACACAACTTGCAAATTTTCAGATATTCAATTTCTTTGCAATTGCTCACTTTTTTTTATAGATTTCAAATTTCAGCACAATACCTGATAGATTTAGGTTATTTTCAACATTCAAGTAGCCAATTAGTTTGTGTAATTACTTTTTTGATTTCCTTTCATGCAATAAACATCAAGTGTACTCTAATTTGCATTTCATTCGGTTCATTGAGGATCTATTAACTTTAGATTCACGGTATTGGTAAAGTTCTTGAGATTATTCAAGGCAGATTAACAACCATTTTGTAGGAAGGCATTCCTCTCCTTTACAAATCATCTGAAGGGCGCAAAACCAAAGTAGTCAATATCGTACCGGTATGCGTACCGGTTTTGCTACTGGAACGGTACGTACCGGATACCGGAATTTTTCGTGTACCGTTTCGGATTTATCGCTATAAATATATATTTTTATAAATTAAATATCAAATTTTAAAATAAGATAAGAGATACTAATATTTAAAACTATAATATTCT